TGCTTATGAGCGATGAACTTAACACATCTATTGTCTTTTATGTTGGCAACCCAATTGAACTCTCTCGTTGTTGTCAACTTACTGTTAACACTCTGAACTCTGAAAGATGGAGAGAGAGTAGTTAGTTTGATGGACTTAGAAGTTTTGAAATCAGCTGAAACAGGTGGATTGAAGGTTGGCCATACAGTGCCCTGTAATGAAGGACGTGGGCAGCAGCAAGTAGTTCTTTCCCCACCTCAAACCAGCAAGCCCGAGGAATAGAATGGGAGCTCAGGGGTGGGTTCCACATCATCTATGGGTTATGGTGCCTCAAAGACATCTGGAAAACCTGGAGGAACCAGCCTATCACATCCTTGGGGGGGGGGCATAGTCCAAAGTGATACCCATTGCCAGCCCACCTCTTACCAGTCCAAGTGGACTATTTATGCTCATGTTAGCAACAAAAGTCAAATCTGTACCTGGAGCAATTCGAGGAGAAGTAAACTTTTCTCTATAGAACTAGTTGTTAAAAGTGGTAAAATCAAAGCTGCTACTTTCAGTTGGCAAGTAGACAAGTTCTTTCTCCTTACTGAAGTTAAGAAGATGTATTATTTCTCAAAATGCACCCCGAAGATCGCTAACAAATAATTTTCTGCTGTTAAAAATGACTATGAGATGACTTTCAATGAGACTTGTGTCATGCCCTGTGAAGATGATCATCATCTACCTACAGTTCAGTTTGATTTCACTGACATCGGTGACTTAGAGAACAAGTCTAAAGACACACTTGTAGACATAATCGGGATCTGCAAGAGCTATACAGATGCTTCTAAAATCACAATAAAATTTAACAACAGAGAAGTTTCTAAAAGAAATATCTATTTAATGGACATGTCAGGGAAAGTGGTGACTGCTACTCTATGGAGAGAAGATGCTGACAAGTTTGATGGTTCTAGACATCCTGTGATGGCCATTAAAGGAGCCAGAGTTTTCCATTTTGGAGGACAGAACATTTCCGTACTATCTGAATTCAAGCACTGTCATTTTGAACCCTGACATTTCAGAGGCCTATAAGCTTTGTGGATGGTTGGACTCAGAAGAACAAGCCTTAGATGTTTCCTCTCTAATCTAAAGAGTGGAGAAAAAAGAGAAGGCAACACCAACCGGAAAACCTTATATGAGGTTAAATCAGAGAACTTGGGCCATGGTGACAACGCCGACTATTTAGCTCTGTGGCAATGGTGGTGTCTTTGCAAAGAGAACTGTATGTACCAGGCTTGCCCAACTCAGGGCTGCAATAAGCGATTGACCAACAGAATGGATTATACCACTGTGAAAAGTGCGACAGTGAATTTGCCAATTTTAAATACAGCATGATCTTGTCGGCAAATATTGTGGATTTCCAAGAAAATCAGTGGGTGACTTGTTTCTAGGAGTCTGCCAAAGCTATCCTCGGGCGAAATACTGTTTATCTTGGGGAATTAAAAGAGAAGAATGAGCAGGCATTTGAAGAAGTTTCCCAGAATGCCAACTTTCGATCCTTTACATTCAGAATCGGGGTCAAACTGGTGACCTACAATGATGAGTCTCAAATTAAGGCCACCATGATGGATGTAAAACCTGTGGACCACAGAGACTACAGCAAAAGACTGATGATGAACCCCGGAGAAATGCAGTGGTGTAGGAGAGCGGTGTGAGTGGGTACAAGTTTGAAAGCAGCAAAATGGAGTCAGTCTCTTCCCACCTCCACATGACAGTCAGAGTGTAGAGCACCTCTGTGGTGGAGTGGAAGTTTCCCCTGTATGCACCTGTTGGGACTCAGGCAGAGCACAAAGTGCTCAGAGGGCTATGGTGCAAACTGTCAGACCCAGGCATCAGTGGCAGGTATCACAGCCAGTCCCTCTGACTTTTATTAAAATTTCATTATCTTCAAGCAGTAATTATGTCACAATTGACTCTAACTCTACAAACAGTGAGATAAATTATGTCACTCAAAAAATAAAAAATAAGTGTCAATAAATCTAAAGGAACTCAAATAGTAAGAAAGATCTTCTAAATATTGAATGCTAAATGCACATTTAAATGAAGAATGGATTAAAAGAAATCAAAAGGAAAATTACAAAGTACTTTAAAATAAATGAAACTATAACATATTGAAAATTTGGGGATGCCAGAAAAATAGTACATAGTGAAAAACTGAGCCCTAAAAACACTGATATAAGTAAAAAGCAAGTCCTCAAATCAATGATGTCAGTTTCTACCTCCAGAAACTTGAAAAAAGAGCAAATTAAATTCAATAATAGGGAAGAAGATAAGATGGATGGATTGGAGCAGAAATCTCTAAAAAGGAAAAACAATAATAATGAAACTAGTTCAGTGAGATCAATAAAATCGATATTTTCTCTAGTCAGATCAATAAAAAAGAGGTAAGATAAATTATCACTATTAAGAAAGAGAAAAGTGAAATGAAACAGCCTTTTAAAGTACTAAAAGGATAGTTGGGGATATTATGAACTGTTTTGAGGCCTGCATTATCTTATACCAAAACCAAAGACAACACAGAAAAAGAAGAGATTCATTTCTCATATGCACAGATAAAAAAAATTCTAGATAAAATTTCAGCAAAATGATTACTATAATATATAAAAAGGACAACCTATCATGACCAATCAGGGCACATATCAAAAATATAATATTGGCTTAACATGTGAAAAAAATACATCAACCAATGTAATTAATAATATTAAACTAACAAAACATTTTAAAACCCCACAA